TAAGGTCCCTAGTCAAGGTTGTTAACGTGGGACATTAATAACCATGAATGACTAGTATGTGAGGTGATTGATGACTAAGTTTCATGGAGTCATTCAATATGTGGTATTGAAGTCAATCACATGGATATGTGTTAGAGAACACATGATCGGACTGACCCGCTAATGAGAACTCTGCAAGATTGTTATATGAGTGTCATAACAGTTTCTCATTACGACTATAGAGTATAGTCCTTAGACCTGAGTTCGTGTTGATTCTTTACTTGTGGATTAGTTCACTTTGACCTTGTCAAACATCAGCCGTAACTGGTGATTATAAAGGCATTGATTAGGTGTTCTATGAAATTTGAAAGGAAAAGGGATGGAACAAGATGGGATTTGTCCCTCCTATATAACGGGAGATAAATATCTCAGGGCCTATCGAAGATTTGATACTGAGAAATGCATGGCCATGCTCAAACGAGGTGAATGTCAGTCGTTTGTTTTATCTGTATAAATCAGAGTTCGATAAATATGATCTAGCTTAATAAGGATGACACTAGTTCTTGCTTTATGCTAAGATCGAGATATAGAGACAAAGGGATTATAAGAATAGATGATTCTAGTACAAGTGGGAGATTGTTGGGAATGTCCTAAAATCATTTGTACTTACTCTTGTTAAAGTCGTAACGTCGAGATTTGACAATCGTATAATATTAGGTGGTTATAATGTTTTGCTAGAAACCGCTTATAATCTATGAATTAAGAATTCATTGCTAATTTTATATGATCCTACAAGGTCACACACCTAAGCAAATTGGATCACTTATATATAGGGTTTGGGAATAATATATATATATGATATATATATATGTATCGTATACATAAGATGTATATACATAAAGTCATAATTATTATCTCTTAGTGTAAGAGATGTTACGTGTGTATGAGTGGGCTTTATAGCCCATTAGACTAATGAATTAGGTTAATACTTTACCGTGATTCATTATAAAAGTGCATATGTTGACAATTATACTTACGATTGATCAAGACGGCAAATCCTAAAAATATAAGAGACAAAGCGTATGTCAACCTTTGGAGATTTGATCTCGACGGCACTAGCATCCCGTTTCGATCCAGTTTGTGTGCGTGTGGATACCAGTAGAGGCACGACGTTTGGAGTGTTTGAAATCTCGACTTGTTTTGTTTATCTTTCCGCTGCAAAATAACCAGGTATATCTGAAACCCTAAGATTTAGATTTATTTCAGTATTGGCATGAAATTCTAGGCAAATAGAATTCATAAGTTGATTTATAAATCGTTATAAACCGGTATGAATTCCTGCAGTTTGTAAATCGTATAATATAAAAACCGTGAGTCTTTGCATAATACTACGTTTATTATCGTTATTTATCATTGAATCGTCCATGCCCATTACACACGAGGTATATGACTTTTTGGACTACCAAATTAAACATGTGCGTAAATATATTGAGGAGTTTAATCAATAAATAACTCATGCGTTGTAACAAATTGAACCAAGTTGGGTTCTAACAACATCACTTTGATGAGGGTTATATCTGATCCTTGCGGGGGTGATTTGGTAAATAATCAATGGTTTGACCATCAAGCAACAAAATAAGTCATGTTCTGACGAGTGTTATTTAGCGTGATCCTTGCATGTTTCGTCGTAACTAAGACGGACCTACTCAAATATGAATTGATTCGAGTTAGTACTTGACGATTAGAAAACGTATATTGAATAATTTACATAGATCACAAATCACAGTTATCCTTACGTACGTGATAATCAGATTTTTATTTAAACGGAAAAAGAAAAATCAAGATTCGTATACCAAGACCGTATCTAAAATGGCACCGCGCACGAATGAATATTACACCAAACGTGACGCAATTGAATTCCTCGTTCCGTATCGTAATCGTATATTTTTTTTAATTATACGAATAGGATGTGGTCTGGTGGCAGAACTGGTCCTGCAAGAACCAAAAACTCTCATCATCGGTCCACAAGTTGTCCCCACCATCACAGCCCCAATCGTTTAGCTCCATGAAACCCGTTTGACCCGCCGAATCATAACCAGACCCGTTTACTACCCTGCCTTGAACGTCCGATAACGCCTCAGCTGGCGAATTTGAAGACGTTGCGGACAGGTCCGATGCCGGTACGAACTGCTGCTGCTGATAAACCGGCTCTAAAACGAAACTCGGTTCGACCGGAGCTTGTTTGTCTATAGATTGACCTGGGTCGGTGATCACTGCAGACTCCACTGGGTCATACGTGGGTGGTGATGTTTGGGCGTTGATTCTTTCCACTAATCTTGGCATCCAAACATTTTTCATAGTCTCCTTAAAAAGATTGCTACTAACATCGCATCTAAGGTGTTTAGCTTGTTTTTGCACCCGAGTTCTCCAGTAATTCTTTATTTCATTATCTGTTCTTCCAGGTAGATATTGTGCAATCTTAGACCACCTTATATTTTCCAAGAAAACAACAAACACAAAAATATTTATAAGCGGATAAAAATGTTAAGTTTCTTGTTTAACAAAAAATAGTTAATGGGAAAACAAGTATTTAAATTTGGATCTTTGGTAATATACCTATTGCCCCATAGAGAATGGAGTTTGAGGATCATGAATTGTTCTTCGAGAGTGATGTTGCCCCGTCTAACATCTGGCCGCAAGTAGTTAAGCCATCTTAGCCTGCAACTCTTACCAGTTCTCTTAAGCCCTGCATGTTTGAACATATATTATAAGGACGTGCATATATTATATTATAAGCATAGATATGTCTTTGCAACTGTGTATATTAGAGATTGGTGACTAATTTTTTACCTGAAGAACGAGCGATGTGGTTCCAACGAGAATCACCGTGGATAGAGACGAAGTTGACGAGAATAGCATCTTCTTCCTCGGTCCATGGACCTTTCCGTACATCAGAATCTTCTTCAAGAGCTAAAGAGTTTAAGTTTCTCTCGTAATCTTCCATTTCTCTTTTATTTTAATGAGATAAAAGAAAAAGAGACAGAGATGAGATGCTGTGAAAGGCTTTGTGGATTAGATTTGAAGTGATTAAGCCGTATGTGATTTATTTATATAATGAAGGAACACAATAATAAATAATTTAATAAACGCAGTAATTTATAAGGATATTTGAAAATAAGGAAGAATGAAGACTTGAAGAGTGACTGGAACACGGCATAAGTGATGTGATTATTCAATTATTATTTTTATTCTTGTTTCTAAAGTGGAACTTTGCAACTATATAGTATACCATTCTAATCATAATTAAGACTCAGTTTGGTCAACTTTTGTGTAATTAAAAAATACTCGGGTTTGACCCTTTGACTGGTTCAGATGTATAGTAACTCGCACTCTCACTTTTACTTTGGTAAGAGTTCTATTTTATAGAGTTCCTAGATCGTAGTATTCACACATTAGGCACTATATAGGCTAGACATAAGTTGTATACTAACTCTGTTGCAAAATATATAAAGCTTTAAAATAGTGAAAAATTATTTAATAACTTTTTTACTTCCAAAATATCATTAAAATATATATTATAAAATTATTTAATCAATTATAATTAAGTTATAAATATCACTGGTTAATTTTTGATAAATGTAGAAATTACATTGAAGTATGAAAATATATTATATTCTAAAACATCAAAAAAAAGTTTAAAACATCATATATTTAATCAATTATAATTAAGTTATAAATATCACTGGTTAATTTTTGATAAATGTAGAAATTACATTGAAGTATGAAAATATATTATATTCTAAAACATCAAAAAAAAGTTTAAAACATCATATATTTTGAAATGGAGAGTGTATTACTTTACCAAAAAATGTTGTTGTATATTTATTATCTAGTTTAATATGAGTAATTACTGTTGAATTACGAACCCTATATTGTTGCTAATGATCAGAATTTTAATTTCTTCATCGTGTTATACTGATTATTGTTATAATCCGAGACTAAATTTGATTAGAATGAAGAACACAAAAGAGAATCTGAAAAAATTATAGAGAATATACAAAGAACAGAGAATAGAAAGAGAAACTTGATTCTCTCAATCTTTACAATTGTACCTACAAAAATTTATAAATAGGTTTATTTTTCTAGGGAAACCAAACACATTTAACTTAGGAGGAAAACTAAATTACAAATAAATATCTAAGTTACTATTCATCCATGTTACTGTTCACCAATTAATACATATTTTGGGTCTAAATGGTAACACATGGAACGAAGGGGAATAACCAATTCCTACTTATTCCTTAAAAAATACATCATTCATAAGGAATATTTCCTACGTATGATTCCTTGTCATTCCTTGAATTCTAAGGAATTATAGAACAAAAACATTTCTTACCAAAATTGATATGGAACCAAAATAATAAATATTCTTTTTCATTCCTTTTATTTTGTTCCTACTTATTATTTTCCTACTCATTCCTATTCTTATTTTAATTGTCACCAGTTAGAGCCTTTAATACTCCCCCAAGCTTTATTATAGGAACACCGGAGATCAAGCTTGCAATCATAAAAATTTACCTCGTTAAAAACCTGAGTATGAAAAAACCACTTCAAACAAAACCACACTTAGAAAAAAGAGTATAAATTACAAGACCTAGGGACTTGCGACTGAGTTAGATCTATGAGTCCAAGCTTCGAATGAATGAACTCACAGACTTTGGTATTGGATGCTTTGGTAAATATGTCAGCAAGTTGATCTGAACTCCATGTGTAACAGGGTAGAATCACTCCTTGCTCTACCATTTATCTCACTTTATGACAGTCTACTTCGATGTGTTTTGTTCTCTCATGAAACACCGAGTTGGATGCAATGTGAATGGCAGTTTGATTGTCACAATGAATGATGATTGGGTCACGTGATTCAATTCTCAAATCCTTGAAAAGATCTTTGAGCCAAATAAACTCATAGGTGAGCTTCCTCATGAGTCATGACTCTATACTCAGCTTCAGCACTTGAACAAGAGACCACCTTCTGCTTCTTACTCTTCCACGTGACTAGGTTTCCTCCAATGAATGTGTAATATCATGTTGTAGACTTTCTTTCCACTCTATCTCCAACCTGATTAGCATCACAATAGCCGACAAGTTCTGAACTTCCATTGCACCTCATCCAAATGCCTTGGCCCGAAGCTCCTTTAAAATACTTGAGTATTCTGTCCCACCATATTCAACTGGTGTATCTTGGGAGCTTGCATATGCTGGTTTACCTGATTCACAACAAAACAAATATCAGGCCGAGTAATAGTTAGGTAGATCAACTTACCAACCATCCTTCGGTATTGCTTAACATCGTCAAATAGCCTATTTTCAGTCTCCCCCTCTCTTATGATTTTGTAGCATTCTTCAAGGGGTGTCTTGGCTTGTTTTACTCCAAGCTTTCCAGCTTCGGATAATAAATCAAGTGTGTACTTTTGCTGAGATAAAAAAAGTCCATCTGCAGAGCGACACACTTTTATCCCATCATGCACACACACCAAGGTCTCTTATATCAAAAATAGAATTAAGAAATACCTTAGTTGCTTGAATACGTACCTTCTCATTCCCTAAGATGATGATATCATCAACAAACACGAGAATGGCAATTATACCTCTTGACTTTGTATGGTGAAAAGAGTATGGTCAGCCTTGGATCTCATGAACACTTTATCTTTAAGAGTTGTGCTCAGCTTACAGTACCAAGCTCTAGGAGACTGTTTCAGCCCATAAATGGCTTTCCTGAGTCTAAGGACTTTTCCTGGTGCAACCATATCTTCAAGACCAGATGGAAGAGTCATGTACACTTCATCCTCTAGTTCACCTTGAAGGAATGCATTCTTGACATCCATCTGCTAAAGATCCCACTCAAGATTAGTAGCTAATGAAAGAATTAACCCTTACCGTGTGAAGCTTGGCGACCGGTGAAAATGTATCCAAGTAATCTTCTCCATATGTCTGATTGAAACCTCTTGCCACACCCTCGTCTTATGTTGTCATGTCTCCCCATTACTCTTGTACTTAATGGTCATCAACAATTTAAAGCTCACAACTTTCTTCCCTTTACCCTTTAGAAAGGTCTTCCTCATAAAATATCTGGTTGCGATCGATGGCTTCCATTTCTTCCCCTACAGAATTTTTCCATACTTTGTCCTCATAAGTCTTGGTATATGTTCCTGATCCAAATTTCCAATAAATACCTGATGTTCAATAGGAAAATGAGCAAGGGAGCAAACTGCTTGATTAGGATGGGCTACAACTTTGTTGTTGTAATAGACACTTGTGTCTACCCACTTGGATGGCTTCTAAACCTTTGTGCTCCTTCGCACATGTTTCTCCTTATCATGCTCTTGTGCTTGTTCTGCCTCATGATCCGATCAATTTTTTTCTTCATCTTGAACATGTTCTTGAGACACTCCTCTTTGATCATGACTAAATGAATCACCTTCTTCTGATTCTGGTTTTTCATGTGTACCTCCTTTATGATCAAGGTGGATGTCATCTTCAGGAACTTAAGATTCCATAAGCGCGCCTAACTTCATAGTTTCATTTTTCCCTTTAGGTTGGCTGATCCCAAAATTCTCCAAAATGAGTCTAAGGTTTGCGATTCGGTCCAAGGGTGGATGAGATAGATCTTTCAGGTTATCTCATTTTCTCATCATAGAATTCCTTGTTCTAGACAAACTTGACATCTCTAGACACCTTTGCTTTCTTGGTTTCTGGTACATAGCATTTGTATCATTCATGGGTTATTGAATATCCAATAAACATAGCTTTGATACTCTTTGCCTCAAGCTTGTTTCTCTGTTCTCCTGAGATGAAAACAAAACACACACATCCAAACACCCGTAAGTGAATGATAGATGGTTTAATTTTATTCATTACCTTAAATGGAGAGATATCATTGAGAATTTTTGTGGGAAATTTCGTTGATTAAATAACATGCAAACACCACTGCATCTCCCCAAAACCTCTTTGGAACATTGCTGTGGAACCTCATTAATTTATCCACCTCCATCAAATGTATGTTCTTTCTTTCAGCCACGCCATTTTGTTGTGGTGTGTACGAATAGCTTGTTTAGTGAGTGATCCCATGTTTGGCAAGATGTTGTTTGAATGTATGACCAGTGTACTCCCCTCCATTATCTGATATAAAATTTTTGATCTTGGCACTGAAATAGTTAGTGACATAGTTTTGAAAATTAATGAAAGGTTCAAAAACCCTATTTCTAGAAGGAAGCAAGGTTAGCCAAGTATATTTTGATTTTTCATCAATGAATGTGACAAAATACTTATGACTTTCTCTAGATGCACAAGGAGAGGTCCAAACATCAAAGTGAACCAAATCAAAACATTTTTCATAAATAGTTAAAGACTTGCCAAGTATAGAAGCTTCACATTCATCATTTTTAAAAGTAATACTGGGTAACAGCAATCCTAAAGCACGAGAATGGGGGTGCCGTAGTCTAGCATGCCGAATTTCCTTATTAGCCATAACAGAAACAAAACTAGAAGAAGAGGAAATATAAAAAGTTGGCTTGATGTCATCAAGTGTATATAAGCCATCTTTGGATACTTCTTTCCCAAGCAACCTACTGGTCTTACCTGAAAGTGCACATCGTTAGGACTAAAAATAACATTGTAATTCAAATCAGTGGCTGCCTTTTTCACAGATAATAAATTTGAATTAACCTAGGCATATAAAAAGCTTTAGATTCTTTATCAAACGATCTAAGAACGCCTACCCCTTTTATTGGTAATTTATCTCCATTTGCAAACATTACATTCTCTAAAATTGGTTTTATATTGCGTATCAGGTTTGAGTCATTAATCATATGATGGGATGCTTCCGAATCTACAGTCGATGGCTTAGAGATGTTTGAAGCATTAAATGAATTACCAAATACTTTATCAGAATTTTCCTTAATGACTTTGATAAGAGCATCAAGGTCAGACCTCCTCACAATCTCATCATGAGTAGTTATCAAGGAAGCATGAGTAGAGAGCAGCGCCTTCCCTTCTCCCTCATTA